ACTTTCGTAGGTTGATAAAATGCCCTATCTTCCGTACATTCGGAAACCCCTTGCGATAAATTACGAACAATTAGAGTTCTGCCAAATCGCTTCGCTACCAGAATCGCGTGAGGTATGCCCAGGTGCTTACCACACAAAATGGGGTGACAAGTGGAAGGTGCTCGATTTGTGAGAAAGGATAACCTGATGCGCATAAATCGTATCGTACAGAAGAGTCCACTGAAGAGCAGATAAGTAGAGCGCGATCGGTACATAACTGAGCGACCCTTGTACGGCCGACCAGCCGAGTAGTGCACCCCAGTTGAACGTGAGCCCTGTAGCGAGAAACTCTGTGCTTCACTACTACTTACTTTGCTATGACGGGACTAGGCAAACAGTGGTAAATTCGCTTTCGTGATGACGCGAAAAATACACTGCCAGAAATGGTTCAGGAAAAGGGTTTGGGGAAATGACCATCAAACTGTTTACGACTAGCAAAAAATAAGAGGTAGATTGCCGAAACAAGTGAATCGATACAGGTTCAAGAGGTATTGTCGCATCTACACAACGGAAATTGTCTAGCACTGAATTCTGAACTGCAGCCCGAGGAGCTGGATATGAAAGGATCGCGAGGTATGGGTAATATGGGTGTTCTAACTATATGTATGGGTGAGTCGATTGTATGGATTTTTCCAAGAAAAAATCGTAGAGATTCACTTCACGATTGCACTCTAAACAAACACCACCTGGCCGAAGACTTCCTCAAACACACCACCAATACAACATGTAAAGAAAACCCCTTCAAACTCAATAAACACCAGTCAAAAAATTAGGAGTTTCTCGAAACCTGGTGACTATATATGGTGTCGTATATAACAGTATGGAGAATGGTGGAGCAGTAGAGCGGCAGTACAGTATAAAATTGGTCCATGGGCAACATCTCAGCCCACGCAATCAAAACACCCCAATTGAGCGTGGCTCCTGCAAGACAATAGTATGTCAGAACTAAGAGGTTACAATCATTGGTGCACAGAATCATCTATTCAGTTAAAATAGCGGTTGTATTACGCTGAAGTGCTGCACATGCACAAAATTGACGGATCCATGGATTTTGCCATCTGACACATGAGTTGGTAATAAATGTCAGATGGCAAAGAGATAAGAAAAAAAATGAGGTGCTCAAAGCTCCTCACTGAAAAGTTGTTAGATCAAGCAGACATAATCCTGCCGATACTGATAAATTAGCCTGTCCACCAAAGAAAAATATCAGGATGGAAGCGGATAGAATGTAGGTATCACTAAAGACTTACAGACTTCACCATCGATCACTTGAAAGCTGTAAGTTAAAAGTTTCCAAATTTGGTTTTCATTTGAAACCTAACAATTAATCCCTTCTTTATTTGCAACTATACAGAAATTGCCTAGGCCTCGTAGACCTTGAGGGCAGTGTCCCGGCAAAAATTCGTTTTCCAGTTTTTTTTTTTACATTTCCGGGGCATTCTCGCCATGAAGAACCCATATCTGGGCTTTTCCGCGTATGGAAATGGCCAGAATAAGCCTTTTTCAAAGGCTTTCCAAGTCTGCATTCAGTGAAAAATGTGTAAGTGGGCGGAATCCGAAACGATGAAGTCGGGGCGCTGAAGACTTCCGCCGTTCCCGCTGAATGCGGACTTGGAAAGCTTTACAAGACTTATTTTCCTCATTTTCACGCGCGGAAAAGCCCAGATATGGGTTCCTAATGGCGAGAGGGCCCCGAAAATACGAAAAATTGGAAAACGAAATTCGCCGGGACACTGCTTTTAATCCTCTCATATGCTGTCCGGATGTATGTCCAAACAAAATTTGAGTCTCAGCTCAAATCAAAATTCAGGAAACGGTCAAAGAAAGTGCTCCATATCAACTACTAACAATCAAAGGTCATAGATGGATATCAATCTATCTGAGATTCTATGCTGGGCACACACACCACTTGAACTACTTATTTTTCAAAAGGTGACACCTACCAAGAACGAACTGTGGCCAGTAAGTGTAACGCTTCGCCAATGGGTATATTACTATAGCAATCAAGGATGAGGCACCCACAGCAACGCTGTAAAAACATTCATACTTATTATAATCAATGGTTTCATTGCTCCTGTCATGCAAATTACCGTCTCACCAATCAAATAGTCACTTACCTGAACCAGTTGAACTGCAACAATATAGCAAGAGAAGAAGATAGAAGAACGGCCAGGAATGAGATAGCTTGCCGTTGGTTCAAAGTCCCGCAAGCTAGAGGACGCATTTTTGTACGTTCCACCTTAATAAAAGACCTAACTAATGAAGTGAACAATGGAAGAAAAGAGCAAGATGAAAAAACCATTTCTAAGGAGAAAATAATGACGGAATGTGAGTGAGACACCAATGCTTTTTTATGATGATGAAGAAAATGGTATGAAATCCATGGAAACTAACCCGTTTATCATATTCTTTGTCTAAAATGTCATTCACAACACATCCGGCACCGCGCATCAAAACAGACCCGGCTCCAAATAAGAGAAGATAATAAAGTGAAGGTAGTTGACCTGCAGGGGTAGCCAACGCGATAGACCAAGTGCATGGCCAATACAGTAACCATGATCCTAGACAGCAGAACCAGCGATGACTGATTTCAACAAAAAAGTAGGTATTTACCAGTCGGAGTATGAAGGCGCATCAACTGCAAATAAGGCTTGAGAGTGGGAGGTGCAGCCTCTACGAGGTCAGCCGGTGCGGGCAGTTTTAAAAATCTTGAATAATGAGGTGTCTCCGATGTAGGAACGGTACTGGAGCTTGAGGTAGTCCTGAATGTTCTCAAACTTAGCGGAAGAGAAAGCAGTAAGCATCTCACCATCTTTTAGAGGTCGCTGGGTAAGCCGTTGAAGAAGTAAATGTCCAAGACGAACATATGCGAAAGCAAGCTGTGAAAGATTGAGGTCTCAAAAACATTTCCTACCGATCCATAAAATCTAAATGTCTGAAAAATAATCGCAAGAAATCGC